ATGAATGAGCAGGCATTTGATCATTTTTGATAATATTTCTGATACCTTTGCCTAAGAGTCAACATTTGATTAGGAATCATTGTCAACATTTAAAGGCAATAAACTTAAGCATTTGCATAACTTAAGTAATTCCTGGCCTTCATACTCAGTTTGCATATCACTTTCTGTAGAAAGTGTAACATGCTGTATCTTGAGCTCAAAGCATTTCCCCAAAAGAACATTTTTGGTCTGGTTTCCACATCAGGCACCCGCTCACATAGCAGAACTGGAAATATTTTAGGAAAACTAAGTTACTTAAAAACACAATTCGAGCTTCAAATTTTTTGAACAAATTCAGAATCTCATTCTTTGTTAATGGAATCATGTTTTAAATAAAAAGATGTATCTGTTACTATGGACTTCCCTAATTTTGAGAACTTTTTTTGTTTTTTGAGAAATATTTTAAATACATTGCATTAAAATCTGAGGGAACCAAGAGATTATATCCGTTTTACTAAATAACAAAACGATATAATAAGCCTGGGAATTCAGACTTCTGTATTTTAAGAGAAGTTCATCCATTTTTGTAATTCGGAGATACTTTCTTTAGAATTTTAGTGAAGAATTAGTGTTGGAAAGTAGAGGGAGCCTAATCCTGCAGTTAGTGCCTTCAGGTCAAATAAGACTCATAGTGACCCTCTGACCAGTTCTGGACCTTGCCCTGTCCTGTGCCGTCCTCATCATCTCTGGTTATGTTCGAGTCCACTGTTACAGTCACTGTGGCAGTCTTGACCTCGTCGAGTCGTTCTCTCTTTCTTTGACCCTCTAACCTTCCCAGCATATCATTTTCCAAGAATTGCCCCTCCTGACAACATAGCTAAAGTACGTGATAGGAAGCCTAACACCAGGTTTCACTTAATGCCATTGACAATTTTTATGTTTTATAAACCAAAGCAATCAAAACAAGTTATACCAAAAAAAAAAACCCCAAACAAACCAAAAAACCAAAACACCACTGCAATGTACAAATATTATAATAATGGTTCTGAGTGGGTGGAGCTGACCCGACTTCTCAGGATATGTGGTAATCATCTAGATTTTTGTTCATTTTTTTAAACAAAATATTCTTCCACCCACTCTTGCCCACCCTGCAGTTTCAGATCTAACTAACAAGGTTTTAATTGGGCCAACAGCCTTCTTGGTTCTGAGGACACGTCCAGCTTGTCTTTCTTTAGTTCTTGTTCACAGTAAGTGCTTGGAGTGTGTGTCGCTCACTGTTCAGGTGCTCACACCACAGATGTAGTGCAATGTTTGATGCCTCAGAACTCTTGCCATCTGGAGAAATAAGAACATAGTTCATGATAAAGTCCCATAGCTCTGTAGGTTTGGTGATAATGTTTGTGTTATCTCCCTGTTGTTGAAGAGACCGAGATTCCCTGCATTGAAGAGACTGCTGTTGCTCTTCTTAATTCATTATTTGCCAGTTTATTTGACAGGATTCTCTTGGGCCACACATACAGCATGTCAGGGGATGTTAATGTTTGTGTCCCTCAGCTTGGGAACGTGTGCAGAGACGGCTGTAGTGTCGGGAGAACAAGGGCACTTACGTGGTCAGTCTCTGGAATGATGCGTGTGCCAAGGAAGGACAGAGCTGCTCAGGGCCTGGCAGAAGGGAGAACGTGGCAGAACCCGGCTGTGCCGCAGCGTAGTGCAGGCAGTTCAGTGTCATTGGGAAAAGTGCAGGTGACTCTGCTACGAAAGGTGCTGTATCAGTGGACCAGGGCCTTCAAGTGTGTGAAGAACCTTGCATGGCAGAATAATCTCTAAAGAAAGCGCTTGTTACTTTTCCAAATTAGGTAAGATCCATAGTGATTTTTACTTAATGCTATTTTTTTTCAGAGAAAGGAACCAGGTGAAAAGTAGCAAAAATATGAGATACCAAACGTTTAATGTCTGACTTACCTACTATATGTGGCTATTAAATTCTTAATGTGATATAACATTTTTTTTTTTAATTTGAGTAATGGTGAACATTTTAATCCTCACTCAGTGCCATCAAGAGGAAACTGAGCTGACCTCCCAGCAAGTTTCCAAGATTATAAATAGCATGGTTCAAAATACCCATTTTTCGTCCCCAGATCCATGGGTGGATTGGAACTGCCAAAGGGGACAGACATGGCTTTGAGGTAGCAGCACATCTTCCTAGGGACCAAGCCAGTGTCTGTCCAGCTTGAATCTCTGGCAGTCCCCTAACCATGTACAACTGCTTTTAGTCTTCAGCAGAATTTTACTTGACTGCATTTTTAATCATCCTGCTCAATAATGTCTAAATTCCATTGGTTTACTTTTCTTTGGAATCCACACAGATGTCTCTTCCAGTCAATCTTCCAGATTTGACATAGACACATGAGTACTTCTAGCAGAGGAAATCACTGCTGACAGCCAGTGCATCTTGACTGAAAGTAGAAAGTATATAAAAAAATTTACCTGTGCTTTATTGATTATGCAAAGGGACTCCACTATGTAGAAAGTAACACCTTTTGGATACCATTATGAAGAGTAGAGGCTCCAGAACACTCCACTGTGCTCCTACAGAGCCTGAAAGAATAGGGTTACTGTGGATGCAATGCTCATATAGAGCATGAAAGAGTAAGGGGATGCTGTGGTGTAAGATCAGTAAAGGGGTCAGCCGTGTATTTATTCATTATGCTGGTTAATTCTGTATGCTGAGCAGATACACTGGGAAGTTGGATTGTATAAAGAAGAATATAATACCAGATTGGAAGAAGACTCATTAATATGCTGTCTGCAGATGCCACAGCCTTGCTGAAAGTGTGGAGGACTGGAAGCACTTATTGGTGAAGATCAAAGACTGAAGTCTTCAAAATGGATTGCACCTCAACAGCAACAAAAAAACCAACTACACACATACACACACAGATTGTTCAGAACTGGACCAGTAAGCAACATGATGATAAATGGAGAAAAAGCTTTCGTTGTACTTGGATCCACATTGAATGCCCATGGAAGTAACAGTATATGATGTGTGTTTGGGTCAGTTTCCCAAAAGAGACCTTTTTGATGTTGCACAGTCAAGATGTTCCTTTGATAACTAAGACACACCTGACCCAAGACATGTCGTGTACCATTCAGTCAGAAAGGACCCACTAGCAGATTTTCTGAGGCAGTAAATCCCATGGGAGGAGAGTGCCCATCTTTCTCCTGCTGAGAAGCTGGTGGAGTCGCACCACGTGCCTTGGGATTGCAGTATAGCCTTTTACAGCTAGGCCACCAGAACACCCGTGACCCTATTAATAGTTTATAGGGTCGCTATGAGTTGTGCTTGACTCGAAGGCAATCAACAACAACAACAACATATGCAATGAAAATTTAATGAAGAAAAAGGAAGATTGATGAAGAATTGATGCCTTTTGATTATGATATTGGCAAAGAATAATCACTGTATCAGTTACTGCCAGAAGGAACAAGTCTGCCTTGAAAGAAGTACACTTGATATTTATGTGTAAGTGAGAGTGGCAGGACTTTATGTACTTTGAAAAGGCCATCAAGTTGGACCAGGGAACCACCCTGGAGATCATCAAAACAGACGAGACTCTCAGTGACACTGGCTGCAGCAGTGGCTTAAACATGACAGTGAATTTGAGGGTGGCACAGATGTAGGGTGGTGGTCAATGGCACACAGGACCATTATGACTGGGAACACTCGGCCCCTAAGAACAGCAACAGCAGAAATGAAGAAGCAGTTTTATGTCAGACATTTTGAGATAACAAATTTCTGTTTTGGAATCAATAATTATAGACCCATTATACTTGAAGACAGAATAATGTTTTCTCTACCACTTCTGATGCACACTATGCAGTATTGGCAAGTCCAGATGAATATGATGGTGCATCAATGCCAGAAAGAAGTGTCCATGCTGACATTGATTGGCATGAAGTAATAGAGCATCGTGCTACATTTTACATGTTCTCACATAAATTTTTTATAAAAATACATTTAAAAACTAAAATACTCAATAGGAATATATTTTTTTTACACCTATTTCGGTAGCTCTGGTTGCCTTAGTGTTTAAGGAGTTTTGCTGCCAACCCAGAGGCCTGTGGGTTTGAATGCACCAGCTGCTCTGAAGGAAAAGATGGACAGGGTGCTCCTTTGTGATTTACAACCTCTGAAAAGCCAGTGGAGGGTCCGCTATGAGTAGTTAATGTTATTTTATCGTTCGACTGTTTACAGTTTTTTCCAGCTGTGCATTTAAGTGCCTTCTATGTTCTTTGTAATTGGAAATAATGCTTTATGGCCATTTCTTTCTGTGGCTTTAGAAGTGGAAATTATTGAGTAAAAAAGAATGGTTAAGGCCTTTGATACAGTTTACCAAACTGCTTTCTAAAACAGTACAGTACTTTGTGTTTCCCCTGGCAATGTATTGAAGTGTTTCATCAGATCTTGAGAACAATTATTTTTTAAAAAATAATGAAACAGGCATTATTAGCTTGACACTTTAAAAATTTAAACGACCTTTTTTTTTTTTTTATTCATGGCTCTAATGGTAAACAATATTTTAGTCTCCTATATAATAGAGACTTCTGATGGCTAACTAGTTAGGAATTATGCTGCCAGTGCAAGGGTGTGTGGTTTGAGTCCACCAGCTACTCTGTGGAAAAAAGATGGACATTTTCTTCTCATGAGATTTACTGCCTCTGAAAGACCACTGGAGGATCAGCTGTGGGTCGGTTCCAATTTAACAGCACACAACAACAGTACTGCTGAGGGGACCTCTGGTGGTGTGGCCTATAGTGAGTTTTACTGCCAACCCAGAGGCTGTGTGTTTATAGTGGTTTGAATCTACCAGCAGTGATGAGAGAAAGAAAAGCCTGGAAGCCCAGGGGGGTTGCTGTGAGCCACAGTTCACACAGTGGCAATGAGTTGTTTGAGTTCATGAGTTTTGACTAAAGCAATGCAAGAATTCTCTCCTGATATGGAGCTCCTTTTGCTTTTTGAGGTACCCATCACGTATTGAAAAAATAGACTATGAGGAGGGCAAGATGCTAGTCCACTTTGAGCGCTGGAGTCATCGTTACGACGAGTGGATTTACTGGGACAGCAATCGACTCCGACCCCTGGAGAGCCCGTCGCTCAGGAGGGAGGGGCTGAAGGACGAGGCTGACCTCTCTGTAAGTAGCCAGCTGCTGCTTCCACTGTTGAGTTTGTGCTCGCTTGGAATTGATAGACTTTAAAAGGAATTCTGTTAAATTTTACAAAAGCCAATTTTTTAAAGGAAATGCTTATTTATTATATACATGGTATTGATCTTAAAAGTTGTTTAAAATAGGATTTTAAAGCCGGAGAGGAAGTTCTGGCTCGTTGGACAGACTGTCGCTATTACCCTGCCAAGATTGAAGCAATTAACAAAGAAGGTATGTATTTAAAATGATCTGAGACTTACAGTGGAATTGGTAATAAAGCTTAACTGTCCTTTAGTTAATAGATGTTCCTGCTCCATATAACTTTTTACTTCTCCTTGTTTGAAATGTCACTTAAGACATTTCCTGCTGTCATTCTTTTTTGGAAGCATTCGACTTGTTATATGTTATGTAGATTAAAAATAATGATCTATGATTTACTACCTAAATACATGGTCTAAATTAGTACAAGTACTAAGGGTTTTTTTAGCTTTGAGAGTACTTTATTTCTCCTTTTCTGTTTTTTTGTTTGCTGAGTAAGTTGTTTTTACCAACCTGTCCACCAGAGTGGACGGGAAGATGAAAGATCCCCTTTCATTACTGTCATGTTGGAACCCATGTAGCTGACCCTCACTGAGTTTCTGAGGCCGGAAAGTGCAGAAGAGAAGGGTATGCTTCTTCTCTAACAGCTGCTGGTGTTAGGAAAAGCCAGGCCTGTGCACAGCCGAGTCAGCTCCCCTAAGTGAAATGGGTACTGCAGGAATTCTGAAGGAGGGAAGATGAGACTTCATCTGTTTGTGGAGCGCCTCTCTCCTTTCTAGTTTTTCTTCATTTCTCTAGATAAGAAAGTCTGTTTACTCCTAAAACCCTTTTGTAGACTTTTGGTAGAATATTTCATACTGAGCAGAAGTTAACAGAATTGTTGAGAAGTAAGTGGAATTGAGGTGTGGCTTAAGAGTGATAGATAGTGCTGCTGGACAGAGAATGAATTTTAAAAGCTGAATTCTAAAAGTGATTAATTTGAAAAGCACCAGAGTCAGCATTTAAATTATTATTGAAAATATTTTTAGTTTCTTTTTAAAATTTCTCTAATCTCATATCAAATTTAAAATCAAATGTTCTTTTGTTAATATTTAAAACATTTCTGAATAAGTATACTATACCAAATAAATATACTTTTATTTTTTTTAAATAAATTCTCATTTGAAACAGTTGTGAAATACTTGAAAACATATTTTCTAAATTTATTTCCTAGTAAAGTCCTTTTTAGACTTGACACTCATTTGCTGTATTTACTAAGCAAGGGTACTCTTTTCAAGGTGAGTCTTACAAGACATGCAAGTTAACTGGATAAGGATGGGCTCAAAAGGCTTTTTTCTGGCAGAGGAACAGAGTGTACAGCAGAATGGAGCTGAGAGGCATTGCGGTTTTTTCACTGTGTCCTTTGATGACTAGAGCAGTGGGTTTTCTGTGGGGTTGAGATAGAAGGAGAGGTCATTCGAGAAGGACATGGACCAGTATATGCCTGTTATATCTGTCTGAAGAATTAGGTGTATGTTTTAGTGCTGCTAAATAATTTGAATTTTATTTGCTAGTAATGAGAATTATGAAAGGAGTTTATGTTGGAGATTCATATAAAAATAAAATTTAAGAAAAAGTAATATAATGTAGTGTTGGACACGTTTATGATGGACCTGTTAGAAAATGTGGGTGGTGAACATTGATGGCCTAGTCCACCTTGTGATAGTGCTGGAAAAGGGACTTGATCCAGTGTATTGTACTTACTAAAATAAAATGACAAGTTTAAGTACCATTCTGTGACTACTGCAAGCTTTGGTGGTGCTGCCTATGAAGTGTTTGTACAACTAAGCAAAATGCTGAGCAACTCCAGTAGCTTGAACTCACAGGCCATTCTTCAGGAGAAAGGTGGGCAGTCTCCTGTTAATGATGGGTAACTATAGCAGCTCAGTGGAAGCTACTGTGAGTGGGAGCCAACAGAGGACCGTGGGCTGGAGTCGGGGCGGCTCAGGTGTTAGATGTGCGGGTACTGCCCTTTTGGAAGGTAGCCTGCAGCTTGCACTTTGGGGAGCGGACATGGAGCTTACATTCTGGGATCTTCCTCATAGTGACTTCCTGCTGTCAGCCAGTGCCAATCAGAATGGCCAGTCAGTAAGTCTGTGGGAAGAAGAGGGGATGAAGAAAAGCCAGACTGAATCTGTTCTTCAGCATAGCAGAGCCACCAAATTCAAATGAGGACAGAGACAGTGAAGGTTCTGTTAGTGGAGAAGTGATGTCTGCCTGCCTGCCATTTCATGAGCAGGTTGAATGAGCCCTTTCAATGGTGAAATACTGAAATACATAATTTGAGTGTGTTTGTATTATTTTGAATCTCCAGTAGAAGCATTGATTGTGATTTATGTTTGCCCCACAAGGTGAATGAGTCAGCATTTCCCCAGTCCCCCAAAAGACAAAGGAACCCCTCAAGGATCATGTTCCTTGCAAAAGCAAAACAAAATTCACTGATGTGGACATTTCCGTATCTGATGGGTTGTCTAGGAATGAAGAGCAGGGTGGACTGGGGCAGTGAGAGCTTTTTTGCAGTGGGGTGGTTTGAAGCCCAAGGCTGTGATGGGCGGATTGGGGTTTGGAGAGTATAAGAGAAGGAGAAAGACATCCTGGCAGAGGGAACAGTAGAGAGAGGGAGGGAGGAATTGGGTGAAGGAGGGAGGCGCGAGGGAGCTTAGAGGCCCAGATGGCCCAGCAGGAGCTGGTTAGGTCTGGAAGGCCACCCTGCCACAGTGGGAGGACAGAGCAGCAATGGAAAGGCTGTGCGGTGTACATGTGCTGTGACATTCTGACAGTTTTTACAGTGTCTTCACAGCCTTGCTGCTCAGCTGAGAAGTGTGTATTTTATCACTTGGGCTTAGATCTTTCTGTGGGGATCTTGTGTATTACACCGATTATGGGATGGTGAGGAATTAAATGTTTGTTTTCACCTTACTAAAAAAAGAAACATTGTTTGGACATCTATGCCATTGGCTTTGTGGTTAAAGTCATTAATAAGAATGACCAGACATGCTGTTTATACTTTCAAAGGCCAGTTCTTTGTTCACTTAAAATGGCACTCTATCTCCAGTACAGGAAAATGGTTTGCATTTCCATTCGTGTAAAAGCTACGCAAGGTCATGTTTTCTAATCGTACTGGCTTATATTGACGTCAAAAACAATAGATTCTGGGGGAAATAATCCTTCCCGTATGTCAGATGTTTGTTTGTGGGAATTATAGACAACAAATTATTCTAACAAATGTTAGAATAATTCTTCTGAAAAGATCAAACACTTTTCAAAACAATGATTTTTTTCTCAGATATAAGTCTTCTAGATATATTTAAATTAATACAGTGTGAGTTTTAAATTTATTGATAATTAATAAGAATTTCATTTAACTGATTTATACCTTATAAAAGAAATAAGACTGAGTTGTTTCAGAGGAAAAGAGAAAGTAAGCTTAATAAATTTGGTGTTGTGCTTAAAATGGTTATTAATTTTTAGTCTGCACAATTATAGAGCATTTACTCCTATCGAGACATTCATTGCCTGTCATCTCACCTGTTGCTGTGAGATTGAATTATGTTTTCTAATGGTTCTGACTTGCTCCCCTTTCAGGCACATTCACAGTTCAGTTTTATGATGGCGTAATTCGTTGTTTAAAAAGAATGCACATTAAAGCCATGCCCGAGGATGCTAAGGGGCAGGTAAGAGTGGTCAGCCTTCTTTAGCTCCCCAGAGGGATGTCTTCTTGAATGGTGACTGATCAAAATCTGTTTGTTTTTAAAAAACTCAACTAATTGTAGGGTTATGTGCTGATAGCCCCAAATAGCAGCCAGGGAAAGAAGTGTAGAATGTGAAGTCAATTTTCCACATGCCTTTTGCTCCTTCGGTTCTAGACCTGCTGAAGTTATAGGTCGCTAGTTTCTGTTCCAGGTGAAATCCCAGCATCCACTAAGCTGGTGTTGTCCTATCGACCCAGCTGGATCGTGTAACCAGTCTATGGGAAGTGAGGTAAGTGCCTTTTTAAAACTTTTGTTTTCTTTTTCTTTCTGGTATACAGTATCATTTAGAAAGTTAATTTTTAATATAAAACTTTATATTGAGTTCTTAATTTCTCCTCTCCTTGTGTAAATCATAGTCAATCTTCTAGTAAAAGGCGCTTACCTGACTCCGTAGGCTGTTGGGTAGGGCTCCCCACGTCTGCACAGTCATATGCTTTCTCACCACTCAGAACACAAATGAACGGTAAGCACATGCAGGCGAATCTGAGTGGAATTAACACCCACATTCTGTTTGTGGAGCCCATTTCCTGAAATCCACTGCAGAGAAGAGGTGCCATTAGAAACGGGAAATATTTTCTTCTGTGCTTTGCTGTTATTTGGGATTTTCAGCACCTGGACCTACAATTAATTTTAAAAATTTGAAAATAATCTATACAATGTCTACTATGTAATGTGCTACATGTTTATTTTATAAAGTGCAATGAAACATGATTGTCATCCTGAAATGCATTGAAATCATTTGGTCAGCCACAGGGATGTGTAAACATGTAAACATACAGTCTAGAAATATGTATCACTGCATATATATATATATATATATATTCCCCCCCCTTTGGGGTGTCTTCTGGAATTTATTACTGTATGTAATTTGGTTTTCAAAGATCAGTTATGAAATAAGCAGCTAGCTAGCAGGTGCCCCTTCCCAATTAATATGAAAATGAGTTTTAAAATGAAAATACTTTTGATTAGAAAATCACTTTGTGTCCTCATAATGTGTATATATAAGTGCTTTAAAATATTTACTTTTCCTTTTGAATATCTTTTTACGTGTAGGCACATTAAAATATTTGAAGGCTTTCTTTTTCTTACTAAAATAATCTCATTTGATGAAAATGTTTATTTCTAGTAAATCTAGAAATGTGCTAAAATCAGGTATTTGGATAATTCTAAGAGAATTCCAGTTTTGCATATTATTTTCTTGATTCTGAGCATTTTAAGAATTTCGTTATAAAGGTAAAAGGAGAATTTATTTTCTTGACTAACAAATGCATCAAACCCATGCACTATGGAAATGTTCTGCTCTAAACTTCCTGCTGCACCTTCCAGACATCTGACATGTGTCACACCTACATAGAGACACATCCTGGAAACCTTGCGGGTTTGGCTTCTGAGCTGAGGGCAGGGAAAGATCACAGCCCAGTGAACTACATGTGTACTTGGTTTCCCAGTGTATATCCAAGTGATGCTTACAGTATTCTGCAGTCTGTTAATTGTGCATTAGGGGTAAGCTTGAAATTACCTAAATGTGACACAGAGACAAGAAATGAGCAGATACTGTTAGAAAAATGGCATTGATTGACTTGCTCCAGCAGGGTTTCCACATCTTTTCAATTTTGTGAAAAGCACGTATCTGCAATGTGCAAGAAAGTGAAGCCTCCAGAAGTATGTTTTATTTCTCGACCTCCAAAATAGTCAGTGCACTTGAGCCTAAATAAAATCTTAACTGCTGTCGGTTTTTAATTCCTGTGAACCAGTTGTTCTCTACTGATAAACCTCAGCTGGCATTCAGACAGACTTGCAGTGCTGTAAAGGGCTTTCCAAAGCAGAGTGGGGGAGGCCCTGCAGTCCCGCTTACACTCTGGTCACAGGTTTCTGTTCCCTGCTGGTAAACAGATGTGGTGGCCCCGTCGACTGCCCACAATAAGATCCTTCCGTACCTTCTTCCCTTTCTTCTGTCCCCCTCCCCGCTTTGCACAACTTTGAGAGGAGTTTTAATGAATTACTGTGAAACTGACAAGTATTTATTCTAGGTTGAGGCTTTCTTCCATCCTCTAATGGGATAGCTTACCTTACTTCCAGTACTCCACCCTAATGAAAGCATGTTGTTGTTGTTATGTGTTGTTGAGTCACCTGCGACTCACAGTGACCCTGTGTACAAAGATCCTAAACCCTGCTGTATCCTGTGCCAACCTCCCAGTCTCCGACACACTCACTCCCACTACTCCAATCACCGAATCGATCCATCTCATCAAGGGTCTTCCTCTCCTGCGCTGCCCCTCCACTCTCCCAAACATGATGTCCCTCTCCAAGGACCAGTCCCTCCTTGTAACATGCCCAAAGTATGTCAGACGAAACTTCAGAATCCTTGCCTATAAGGAGCAGCCTGGTTTCACCTTCTCCAGGACAAACCTGTTTGTTCTCCTAGAAGTCCATGGTATATTCAACACTGTTCTCCAGCACCACAGCTCAAAGGCATCAATTCTCTTTCTATCATAGCAGAAAGAATTACAAGGTGAGGGTTTGAGCTGTTATATTCTTACTGCTAGATATATAACAAAAAGTGCTTCCTTAGAGAAGGTTCATTTTCAGTCAGCTGCATGGACAGCACAGGTTAACATGTGAGACCATGGCCTCGCATTGTTTCTCATCTGCTAGGCCATAAAACCAGCTAAGAAAAATCACCTGTACAGAAAATCTCATGCATAGCTTAAGTGCCTTTGTAGACTTTTCTGAAATCTTAAACAAATGCTGGTAAGGTCTAAACCCTTTAGTTTAATTGTTTGCATAAAAACCTCTGTTGAGTTTGGTTGTAAAGACAGAAAAAAAAATCCCTTGTGTTTGCTATTGAATTCTACAAACATGACCAATATGTGTATTTATTCTATGCAAGTGTACATTATACTTATTTCATTAAGATTTAGAATAAGAACAAAAATTTCTTCAAAAATCATAAAGTGCTTTTCTCTCTTACCCCTTTCTCCCTCTGAGGATGTGCTAATGATACTGGCACTCCACAGGTTATGAACACATCTAACCTGTATACAACTCACACTTTCCTTCCCCGTTCTGTACACTCTTCCCTGACTTGGAGAAGATTTAATCTACCTGTGTACAAACCATACCCTTCATCACAATCACCTGCTGTACAGTTTTTATATCATTGAAAAGGACATTAGGATGTTTCTTACACTTAAAACGAAGAGAAACCAAACAAAAAATGTAGTGACCCTGTAAGACAAAGTGGGACCGATCATAGGATTTCCAAACCTGTAAATTTTTATGGAAACAGAATGACTCATCCTTCTCCCATAGCGTAGCAGGTGAGTTAATGCTGTAGACATTTTGGTGAGAAGTAGAATTCTTTAACCATTAGTCCACCAAGGATTCTCTCGCTCTAAAGTGGGGCTAAAAAAGAATAGTGTGCACCTCTTCTGATTTACCTGAAGGTTAAAGAGCTCTCAAGAACTGATATAATTTGTAATCTTGGAACTGCCGGTTGTTGGTGGTTGACTCATAGCGACCCTATGACACATCTGAACCCTTCCCTATCCTGTACCATCCTCACAATCTCTGACACAATCAGGCCAATTGCTGCAGTCACTGTGTCAGTCCACCTGCCTGTATAAAGTTTATATTGTAACTCACTAGCATTAAAGATTAGCTTACAAGATCCTTTGTACTTAAAATCCATTTTTTGTGTACATTGTTTTATTGAATTCTCAGGAAGTCCTTTGACTTTGGTTTGGCTCATAGTTCCCTTTGGCAGCAGATGATCCTTAAGTAACTAACCTAAAATTGTTCTCAGCTCTTAAGTGCAGAGTTTGTAGTAAGTTACTAAACATGTTACTTGTACTGATTTGAACATTTAAGATTGCTCCTCTGGTCCTGTGCCTTTTTCTCTGTCTGTAGATTACTGTCAGTGTTGATTATTTTTTAAATTATCATTCAAGTCTTAATTTAGCTGTAATGCTTTTTGCTACCTGGGTTGCTTCCTTATCCTGGTGGTTAAGGGCTGTGCAGTCTGTTCCACCTTGTAGTGACCTCACGTATGTTGGCTGACTCATTCACAGCTAGATTATCTTTTCCCCTTGGAGCTACTGGTAGATTGAGAATGACAGAAAGGCATGTCCTTCAGGTCAGCAGCATGGCTCTTCCCAGTGGACTGAGCCCCTGGAGCTCCCTTCCCCAGTTACAGTGAATCAAAGCAGTCCCCACTCCCATGCCTCAGAATCGCTGCTGGGTGTGAGTCTGTTGTCACAGTCACTGTGTCAGATCATTGCTTTGGGGGTCTTCAGCTTTTTCACTGACTTACTGAAAATTCAGGCAGGATTAAAAAGAAGCCATGGTACAAGGAATATTACTGCTGGTGTTACATGAGTCTTGACTGAAAATTGAAATACTAGAAGGATATCTCTTTGTGTTTTATTGATTGTCCAAAGGCATTTGACTGTGTGGATCATATGGCCGACACTGAAAATATTGGGAATCCCAGGACACTTAATAATGCTCTTACAAAACCTATACCTAGAGCAAGAAGCTGTTGTCCAAACAGAGCAAGGGGACACTGCATGGTTCAAAATCAAGAAAGCTGTGCATCAAGACACTTATCCTTTCTCCAACCTATTCAATTTTTATGCTAAGAAAATAATTTGAGAAACTGGACTATCTGAAAAAGAATGTGGCATCAGGATTAGAGGAAGACTTGTCAGTAGCCTGCATTATGCAGAAGACACCAGCTCACTTGGTGAAAGTGAGGAAGACTTGAAATACTTGATGCAAAGGATCAAGTATGTGTGTGTGTTCAATATAGGTTACACCTATATATAATTTTTTTAATATAGGTGTGCATAATGTACAACATATTTTATGTATATAGTCAATATAGGTTACATCTCAATATCGGGATATAGATAGTTATATTCATTTAATGTAGGTTACATTGCAACATCAAGAAAATGAAAATTCTCACCATTGGATGAATAATCATGGTAGGTGGAGAAGAGAGAAGTTGTCAATGACTTAATCTTTCTTGGATCTACAGTCAACACCGTTGGCACTAGCAGACAGGAAATCAAAAGATATTGGGGGGTTTTTTTGGTATTGCATTGTGAAAGTCTGCTGTTAGGGACCTCTTCAGAGTGCTGAACAACAACAGTGTCAGTGTGAGGACTAAGGTGCACCTGTTCCAAATCATGATCTTTTCACGTACTTGCTATGCATCTGAAAGTTGGACAATGAATAAGGATGACAGAAGAATCATCAGTGCTGTAAGTTGTGGTGTTGGAGAAGAGTGTTGTATATCCTGTGGCCTGCCAAAAGGACAAACATAAATCTTCCAAAAGATGCCGCCAGGATGCTCCCCGGAAGCAAGAATAGTGGAACTTGGTCTCACATAATTTGGGCATGTTGTGAGGAGGGGCTGGTCCTTGGGGAAGGACATCGTTCTTGGGAAGGTGGAGGGTCAGAGACAGAGTTGTGAAAAAGACACACCATTCAGTGTTTAAACCCTAAAGTGGTATGAGAGAATGCTATGTCTGTATTTGTGATAGGTTTCCATGCAGCTATTCTATTTTTTTATTTCTATCAAAATAAACATCAGAGGAATGTTGGTTATTGAATGCTTTCTATTTTGTGAAAATTTAATACAGCCCATAATCTGTTCGATTAGTTGGTAATTCACTATGTTGATGATCCATCTTGTAAATAAATTTAAACTCACTGTTTATGTTTGTGTGAGAAAGTAGCTTTGAAAAGGTCATGTGTGTTTTTATTCATTAGTGCAATTACACCTTAATGAATTTTTAATAGTTTACATGTTTTGTGTTTTTCCTTTGGAGGATTGGATAGCTTTAGTCAAAGCAGCTGCTGCAGCTGCAGCCAAGAGTAAAGCCGGGAGTAAACCCCGGACCAGTGCAAACAGCAATAAAGATAAAGAAAAGGACGAGAGGAAATGGTTTAAAGTCCCTTCAAAGAAGGAAGAAACGTCCACTTCAACAGCCACTCCAGAGGCTGAGAAGAAGGAAGATCTGCCCGCGTCTAGTGAAGCATTTGGTACAAAAGAGTCTTGTTCTTTTCCTGTGACAGTGCTAAACCCAAAAAGTGAATAAGCTGGTCCTCTTAGTTAACTGGGATTTTATGCGTGTATTTGAGTTAGTAGCATCACTCTTTCCCCAGCCCTGTGTGAAGCCTCTCACTCTGTTAGCATGTTGTAGATCTTTCTGAAGATGCATGGTCTAATCTGTGTGCTTACATTGAATGCTATCAACATTCTTGAGGAGAAACAAATTTCTCTTTGTAAACTCTCAGTAGGTTTTTGTTTGCAATTGTTTTGCGGGTCCCCCCTGCACTGGTTTGGCTTTTTTAATGCCTGTATGTGAGCACATAATTTGGAAAAAGCAGTAAGTCATTACCTGCTTTTCTTTCTTAAAGAATAGCGTCTTAGCAGTTTTTATTCCTAATTTATAAATCTAAGATTTGTGTTTTTGAAGCTTCTATCTTAAGCACAGGATTAAAAAACAAAGTGTTTGTACTATTTTTTTTAAAATTTATATTTCTTAATTTGGGTTCTAGATAAATTCTCATCTCTGTATTCTATTAAAAATAGGACTGCATATAGAGAACATCCCAAAGATGGTCTTTGCACAGCCAGAGCACACGTTATCAAACAAGAGGAAGGACAGCCAAGGCAGCTCGTTTCAGGCAAAGAGAGCTCGGCTTAACAAGATCACTGGTAAAAACGACAAGGATTCCTTTTTGGGGAGAATGGAGGGTTTAACTTTAGAATAATTTAATTTAAATAAAATAATGGTTCTAAGTAATGACGTAATGAGCCAGTCAGCAAGAAATACACCTTATGTTCCTTTTAAGATCGCCTTCTTTAACTCATTGGTTTTCTTCTTTTGTAAAATGTAGAAATTCCCACATGCCTTCTGCCTACCTCACAGGGATGTTGTGGGGACTGATGTGTAAAAAATGCCAGGTTTTCAGTCACCTTGGTGACAGTGGTTTCTCTAAGAGTGGATTTAATCTACTTTTGTCAGGCTGTGGTTACATAATTCTTGAAAGTCTGTATATTTTTATGTAAGCATTCTTAGCCTTTACCAGTCTCACGTAAAGTTGATGCCATCTATGGTTGGAAAGGTGAATGTAGGCATTACATTCAGTTCCTGAATCCATTAATCCAGATCTCTGCATAAGAGAGTCCTCCTCCTGTTTCTCGCTGCTGCGCTGCTTTCCAGGCCAGTCTCTATTCCTGGAGCTCGCTTCCCAGTGTTTCAGGTACAGAAAGAAGCAGTTTTGAGGTGCTGGGACACAGAGCTTGGTGTTCAGGGGAGAGGGCATTGATGAGGGGAGCTGGGCAGCATGTCAGGCCGAGCTCCTTTCAAAGCCTATTCAGCGGACTGATGCTACTGTTTAAAAGAAATTGTGAACATTGTTCCTTTTTTGACTTTTTGTTAGAGACAAGTTACACTACTTTCATTATTTAATCATGTGAATGACTGAATAATGAATAAATGGTTTTAAAATCTGTGCTCTAACAAAGCTCTCCAAACTTTTTTTAAATATCTAGTTCAGTAATGTAAAGACACCTTGGCATCACTGTCAGATGGGCCCAAGAATAAATGTAAACCTTTCAACCTGTTTCTTTTGATTGGAAGCCCACTACCAGATGACATTGGATCTGAGGGGTCGCTGGAGCCACTCTTGGTGTGGAGGCTTGACCCACCTTGGTGTCTTCAGGAACTGCTGTTTTACTGTAGAGTTCGTCCAAGTGATTACAGGTGCTTTCAACAGAGGAGACCGTGTATTCACTTTTCATTAGTTTATATCATTTTCATGGCCTTTCTTTGATAAAGCACAGGACAGAGAATTTTTCAAATTGGTTCACCCATTGCATCTTTTTCCTTAGAAGCTATTAGTACTGGAGAAATCTAGAATAGTACCCGAGTAATTGTTATGATGGCAACTTGAAATTGCCATTTTGCCTTAGAGCGGGAACCCAGTGCTGTGCTGTGCACGGTGGCTTGCGGATCGAGTGGTCTCAACGCTCCTTGGACTCCTCTGTGAAGGACAGCCTGGAGCGACTGCCGGACGAGCGGACATCAGAGAAGGCGGAGGTGGCACAGGTGCAGGGCGGCCGTTTACAGCATCTAGGTTGCTGTCTAACTCAGCAACCCTTTCCACTCCTGGCACTATATGAATGTTTAAAGAAGCAAAAAGTAAAACATCCAAGCCCAAATGATGGCTTTGGGGCCCTGAAAAGACAGCTGTGGGGTAAAAAGAACCGGTTTTCTGTGTGCCTCCAAGAAGTTATAGTACCAGTTGCTTAAAAACACCTGCGACATCCGCGGAAGGACAACTCCTGCACTTTCTCCGTGGACTCGCTGATGGAAAAGGGGTGCTTGAATGACAATAGGCAAAAAAACCCCTGGGATTTAAAAAAAATTTCAGACTAATGCTATCTTTTCTCTTGGAAAATTTAAGTGTATGATTATCTTTTTAAATACTCCTTGTGCGTCTGTCTCTTTTTTTCTTGCTACACCTATATGCTGTAAAAAGGCTAAGACTGATTTCAGTGGTAAAAGTCAGAGCTGCCAGTTGTACTTTTCCGATGTTATCCCTATACAGAGAAACGAGAGCCACTCTGTCACCCTGTTCTTGCTGTGGAATGACAGTCCGTTTTAAGTTGTATTTGTCAGATAGGCTGTGTACCTTTTTGTCTCTTTACAAATGGGAGAACCAGGGCTGAGCTCCTGGTAGTCTCCTTTCTCATGTCTCTTCCGTTTTATGTTCCCTTTAAGTAGTAAGTTCCTACTTGTCAGTAAATGAACTGTCCACTTGATAAGTCTAACTCCTATTTCCTTACCCTCTCTGCATGCACTTCTCCTGCACCCACCCCTAGAAACAAGGTGTGAATAGATGATAATGTCAGGATGGCCTTTTTGCCAGTTTTCCAAATAGACTTTGGAAGTGTATCTGCAACATCATAATTTTATCATGTAATATACCTTCTTGGAAGTCTCAGGTTTTCAGAAAATCGCATACTGATTTAAAATCATGACTTTACACAGAGGATCAGGAGGCCATACTCTAGGGACAGTTACAAGCAAACTGAGTTTAAGGAGCCATAGGCTACAGGCTCTGATGGGAGTGAAAGAAGAAACTTTGGTATCTGATTCCTGACAGGCACTATAAGGTAAACCTCTGAGATTTAAATTGGTCAACAATTTGCAACTGATAACTGTCAGGGATATTACCACTTTATAGCAAGGGGATTGCGTTTTGAGATTCCTCCGTGAAAAGTGTGCCAAGAGTGCACCCAGGTGGCTCCTTCCTTGCTCACCTTTGCCGTTCGCTCCAGTGGCCTCTCCCGTGATTGGTGCTGGCAGGGAAAGGAAGCTGTGTATTTTTAAAAAAAAATTTTATTCTTTTTTGTGTGTGTACCATCCAAACGGTTCTCATGGGCACAGGAGGAGATTGTCCCTCCTTCTCCAGCAGAGTATCTGGTGGATTCGAACTGCAAACCTCTGGGATTCCAGTGCAGAGAAGCTGTGTATTTTATAGCTAATTGATGTGAATGAAGCCTTGCAGATCTGTAAATTTGTTGGCAGGTGTGATTCATGAGTATTTGATATTCTCTGTCTTCCTGATGTTGAAATAGTTTCATGAGAATGTATTCTCTCTTCTGTTAGCATAATTACTTGATAGCTGCTCTTCTATAAAAGGCCCTGTTTAGTAACAGGTTATGTCATTTGTATCTGTTTCCCTCCAGATAATTCTTGTCATTTTGTGAGGAATGGAGTCTGTCTCCCAGGAATGGTAGCAAGTCACAATAAACAAATCTGGGGTAGTTTTGCAAGGCGGAAATGACCAGGGTACTCTCTTCCTGTACTGTTTGGTTATCACCTTTCGGTGGTTTTTATTTCATAACTCTCTTGTACGTTGGTATGCATATGAAATAGAAAAGCTTTTTGTTGCTTTTTGAGACTTTTACATTCTGTATATCCCATATTCTGTGTGTGTGTGTGTGCGTGTGTGTATAAAAACATATATACTGTATATATACATATATACAAAATATACATACACATATAATATACATACATAATAGAAACATATAAATGTATAAGCTCTTGTGACATAATCTGTAGGGAATTGCACAACTAACCCAGAGGATGAGTCTTTGCCAGTTCAAATCCACTGCTGGCTCCTCAGAGAAAGATGGGCTGTCTCCTCCCAGGTGGTTTACAGCCTTAGAAAACCTTCAGGGGTTCAACTGGGAGTTACTTCCAACCCAGTGGCAAGGACACACACACACACGCACACGGACGGGATTGCATTTTATAATTAAAATTTTAAGTATTTTTTGTAAATGCCCCATTGTTTTCTGTGAGTAAATTACAAAAAGTTTTCTTTTCTTTTTTTCTTCACAAGCCAGTAAAAGTGAATCACTTTTAATTAATTAGTGCTGTAAATTTTAGAGTATTGCCCAAGATTATTTTGTTTCTGTTAAATCTTGAGTTATCTTATTTTTAATTTTATAATTTGTTTTCTTTTATCTTCTGAAGAGTATTAAAAAGTATTTTTATAACTGTTAGTAAATAAGGCAACAAAAATAAAATTTAGAGATAATTATTTAAGAATTACAAATTTTGTCCCATTTGAATAGCCCTTAGAATCTCTACTGCTTCCCAAAAAAAAGAAAAACTTGATTCCTTAATTATTTTTATTTCCTAATTCTCAACTATATTCATTGGAGAAGAAAAAGTTAATGAATCTGTTTTTAAGTGTTACATATATGCTACATATTTTCGATTCTTATAAAAACATGTTCTGAATTACATTAATTAGGATGAATTTATGGTTTGTAAATTTTATAAAATAGTTTTTACACACACATTAAGCCTTTTGGTCCATTTAAATCTGCACTTGATACTGTGTGAGACTGGGACAAACTATGTAGATTATTCTCTTAAAATTGACCAAATATGAATTTTAAGAGTAACAATTGGTGTATCACAATCATTGTTTTACACTCAGCATGTTGGGTTCTGAGTGCTTTTCAATAAAGGAAAGATGCCTTTACCTCATGTAACATTTGGGTGTAGTATTACTTTTAAGAATCTAATGTTTCTAGTTGCATTTCTTCTAGAGCTCCAATGTCTTTGGGGTAGTTATCTTGGAATTTTGGAAGTGTTTGCATGTGGATTTCTCTGTATGTGGCCTTTTTGGCTGCCTTTTGTTCCTATTAACTGCTGTAGACAGTGTCTTTCATGTGGGTGGAATGATTGCTGAAGCAAGTTGACGGTTAATGCTTTTAATTAAAACATGCTTCTAGTGGTGTTTTACCAACTTTTAAATAATGCACAAAAAATATAATTTTGTTTGGCCCTAATGTGCCTGCGGGGTGGACAGAGGCAAAAAAGAGAAATCTTTGTACTGGAGATATCTGGTAGGACTAGCAAAGACTCTTAACTAAGTAGATGTCATTCACTTTGTAATCAGAGTAGAGGTTTAATGTCTTACAAAATGATGTATGTACTGTAGGGTAAAGTATTTTCTGAAATTGGTAATTGTAATGTACACTAGAGAACACCTGCACTCCAGCATCCTTCCATCATTTGTGGAAGGAGGGTCTCATTCTAAGTAAAGCCCAGACGCTCTAGGAAGGAACCCCTTGTGCCGCCCTCCAGCACAGAGTGGACCCATCAGTCTGAGAGTTCATGTAAGAAGATAGGCATAAAGCCTACATTAAAGGACACAGATGAAATAGAAAATTAGGAATTTTGAGTTTGCTGTTTATTTGAAGCATAAAATGAACATAAAGCATAAAATGAACATTAAGTCATAATTCTGTATTTTTTGTTTATAGAAATACTATATTGTTGGTATTAATAACCTAAGCAGTTTTAGGTTTGTGAACTTGAAACCAAAGAATTTTTACTTTAGTGATAGTTTTTGGAGCTCTGGTGCCCTAGTGACAAGAAGCCACCTTATAATACCGCAGGCACATGGTTCGAGGCCACCAGCTGCTCTGAGGGAGAAGGTTGGGCAATCTCCTTCTGAGTGATTAACTGCCTCTGAAAACCTGCCAGAGGGTCACCTGTGGTTCAGTTCTGACTCAACGGTACACAATAACAACAATAATAGTTGTTTTTTCCTAAAAAAAAAAGCAACTTATACAATCAGCTCTCCAATTCTTCTTCAGTCTTGAGACTCATTGTTAAAGGTGTATCTTTGTCAGTTAAACATTTTGGCATATTTATTTCCTATATTAGTAAAGAATATGGAAAAAATCAAATGCTAAAAATTGTAGCAAGTTATCAGCCACTGTGTTTTTGTTTGGTTTTTTTTTTTTTTTTTAATAAGCCATTTCTGTACAATTTTTCTCAAGGTTTGTTGGCATCCAAAGCTGTCGGGGTGGATGGTGCTGAGAAAAAGGAAGACGGCAATGAAACGGCTCCAGTGCTGGAGCAGGTATGAATGGTGGCGTTTGCTTGTTTGCAAGGTTCCCACTGGAGTGGGCACGGAGCTAGCGTTCCCTCGTAAATGAAGTTACCCTTTGATCAGATACGGAGATAGGAAACTGATTCACTGGTGATACACTTTAACTCTGCCTTCTTAAAGGTATCCAGATAAACTACAGGCTTTGTTAGCTTTTGTTTTCAATAGACTGGCAGTAATGCCTTTGTCTCCGAAATAAGAAAACCTGGAGACAGACCTCCCAGGGTATATAAGCTTCCAGCTGGATCACTTTTAACCAGCTACAAAAAGACCCGCACACAAATACTTGCTATTTGTGAGCTCAAACAGGGTTTTTGACATCTAATAAAGCTTCTTTTGGAAGAAGTTTCTTTTATATTGTAACATTTGGTGTTGTTAGACTGACTATGTGTTTTATGAATTGATCAATGAGCCATACCTTTTTTGCTAGGATGTATATTTTAATAAGTACTCAAAAAAGAGTTTAAAAACTATTAAGGGTCTGTCTTTAAACCACCTAATAGAGGAATTGAAACGTGAAGGTTGTGCTTGCTAGCTTTTTGCCTTGGCCGCCTTCCAATTTCCATGATACCTGTACATATCAACCTGTGCATGCTGTTCCGTCCTCGAAGGGCTTGACTTGGTAGGCACTGGAAGACTCTAAGACGCAGTAATAGCCATACCTGGGTTTCCTTGCTTCTCCTGTTTCACGATCTGAGCCTTAATGTAGTTCTCCTAGATCCTTTTTGTATTGTTTCCACTTCTTTATTAGTAGCCTAATAAAGAAAACTTTAAAATGAGTATCTTTTGCTCTTCTCTATATACATTTAATAAAAACACAACACTCCAAACTTAATTGATATTGTATTGAGTTTTTCAGGGTTGTTTTAGACCTGATTTGATAACAGTGCATTGTTTTGGAGCCCCCATTAATGTATTGGATCAATGGTCTTTTAAATAGATTTTCTGTCATCATTAAACGGTTAAGTCTTTGCCGTTATTGTTAATATATATACCAAATTTTACAACTACTTTTTGACTGTGTATTACTAGATTTAACATCCCAGATATAACAATATTTTGTATTTTCACCACTGTCATCACCATGCTATTCTCAGAATGCAATAAATCAGGGATTTGGGTAATAAAATGTTTCTGGAAAATTCATTACAATGTCAATCTTTCATTATACACAATCCTGCAGAAGTGAATGTGATGGAGAAAATGACTTATTACAAATGTAATTTAGTGTAGAGGGCAATGCCCAGGCTAGAGAAAAATACAAAAGCAGCATTTTGAAATTGGGTTAAAAAGTGAAAGAAAAGTTTAGTAACTCGGCTGTTTCATTTGCATAATTTTTAAAGTTCCCTGAGTGTCCTTGCCAGTTTTGTAACAAAGAGACCAATAATCGTTGATGAAACTTTGTAAATCTAGGTTTATTTCTAAAGAAACCTCATGCTAGTCCCACCTTTTTGCTTGTCTTTAATGTTGATTTTAGTTTGAAAATGTTTTGTAACTAAACTTTTAAATTTTGATGTGAAGTAGTAGTTCTGATTCAGATTTAAAAAGCCGAGTTATAAAACTCTCAGTTCTATCTCTCTTGTTATCAGCAGTAAGCCTAGAGGAGAGGTATTGATTGTCACTTACCTCTATTGTCCTAATGAGTAAAATAATGTCACTCATGACATTGTTAACGGCTGACAGGCAAAACTTACTGTGCTAATGGAATATTTTTATTCGTATTTTTACAATACTCAAACTCTATGGTCTTGAACCTCCATTCTCAGATTATTTACAGATTATTTAATTGTATTAGGGTCATATCATGTTATATTTACTTTTGAATAAAACCTGCATTAGTTGCATAATAATTCAGTAAGGTTTTTAAAATGTTAATTTGTCCTTGTTTAGAAGTTAAGCACCTTATCAAAATATTAATTTAAGTTTTAAATCTTGTTTTATAACTTTGTAACTCAAAAGTAATGGATGCTGTAGTGATGTCTTTCACATATGTGAAGATGAACAATAAAATTGTTTATTTACAAGTAATGGCTCTAATTACTTTTCTGGCAACACTTTGTAATAAGCTTAGGAATTCTTTCTGTTTATGAAGTACTTCTACAGGTTATTAAACTTCACTGACACACGTCACAAATAATCCAGCAATAGAAATAATGACAACTGAAGGAATGGGACACTTGATGTCAGAACTTTCTGTGGTATGCCCACCAAGCCACATGTGTGCCCTGCTTAATTCCACATATGTCCTTTTCCCACCAGAAGTCGAGCACCTTGCATCTTGGTAGAGATATTTGGTGTCCAGACAGTGATCTCTCATATTCCAGACAATGCAAACTTAAAGACTCTCCCTCACAATGAGCCAGGCAGTGAGGAAGTTTCTTGAAGACAAACATGCTGCTCATAGTGTGAACAGTCAGACTCTCACAGAGCTCTGTCTGAGTATAAATGAGAACACACAAACTCTGTACGTCACTTACGCTTCTCTCAGCTGTTCACATCAGGAAAAGAGGACACTTGTTAGACACCCTGACACCACAGATTGCAAATCCATCCAATATGGCTCTTCTCACTTAAGCTTTAAACAGTACACAGAGTCACACATACTTCATTATGTAGAAAATTTTACTGCCAAATGAATAAAACTATTCTTTATGAAAGAACTGACAAAGTTCCAATTTTTTTTTTTTTGAAAGTATCAGTTGGCAGGAAGAAGGTAAAAATTCATCTAAGAATGCGACGTATTTTGTTTTTAAATCCAATGTTTTTAACTTACACTTTATCTCTTTGGTTGTTTTTTTTTTTTTGGTTGTTGTTGTTTGTTTTGTATTGTTTTTTAGTCTTTTAACTCTATATTGCTGGTGGCTTTGATTTCATGATGCATTGTGCTTATGAAACTATGGCTTTCAGCACTAAAGTGAGTTAAAGATAATATTTTGTTGATTTGATCATTGTTTTTCTGTTGAGACCTTTCTTCAAAGGGAAACTGTCATTTAGCTCTTCATATTCAGATTGTTAAAATAATTTATTTTGTAAGAAAATACTTGAAAATTAAATGCTTAAATGTATTCTTCTAATACTCTTAAGACATGAAACACTATTTAATTATTAGTGGCATTGGTCCATTAGTGGTATTGGTACAACCACATGAGTACATTTAAGTTTAATATAGAAAATATTTGTCTAACAGATAGCATTTTATATTCTGGAAATAGTGTGAATACCATGTGTTGGGTTTTTTTTTTTTTTTAAGAAAAAAACCCAAAACTTAATAAGTTGACAGCCTCCCTTTAAAGACAGCTTATTCAACTTTTAGTTAATAATTTGTGGGATTCTTTTTGGTTTTTCATTTGTAATAGAAATGTTGTATGTTGCTTAACAATGTTTTTGGATACTAAACTTGCTTAAAAATCAAAGTAGAATACAAGAACAAAAATGAAGAAACCAAAATAAAAATATCAATTTTTTATTATTTATTCAGGCGATTTCACCTAAACCTCAAAGTCAGAAAAAAAATGAAGCTGACATTAGCAGTTCTGCCAACACTCAGAAACCTGCACTGTTATCCTCAACTTTGTCTTCAGGGAAGGCTCGCGGCAAGAAATGCAGACTTGAATCTGGAGGTTCTTCTGGGTGTCTAAAGCCCCCTAAGTCACCACTTCCCCCAGAGTTAATACAAGTCGAGGATTTGCCGCTTGTATCTCAGCTTTCTTCTTCAATGATAAATAAAACTAGTGAGCACAGATTTTTAAAAAATAGTTCCTTAATCCTATAAGATACAGTACAAACAGTTTGATTATAGTTCTATTGTATTTTTGTAAGGTTGCTTTTTACAAACGCAAACTTAAGTGGCTATGGTAGGGAAAGCTTAAGACTATTTCATGGGGAAAGCCATAGACATTTCTGACTGCTGTATCTTCTTGGGACCTTACTCTATAGTAACATCCATTCCCCTGGAGTCTACTCATGAGCCATTCGTGATGAGAGGCCTGAATCATTAAAAAAAAAATAATAGATTGAGATCCATGATGGATTCTGTTCTTGACTTTGAAGACTGTTCAGTGGGTAGATGCATGTAATGTTCCCACAGACCTCAGAATCCCCTTCTGCAGCACCTGGCATGCACCTTAGTCTAGTCTAGGATGCAGATGTCATTTCATCTTATTAACAAAGAAGAGTCTTGATCGTAATTTTAAAGATTGTGCTATTTTGTTATTACTACTCTTTATAGAGTTTACGTACTTTTTAAAACAGACGTCACTGAGCATGCTTTTGGATATATAAAACCCTCTGTTTTTTCATACTCATTTAGTATTCTAAGAGACATGTGAAAGCAGTCACCTGGACAGTCACTGGATAAAAAGATACTTTTTGTTGTAGTAACCTAATCAGAAAATGAATAGGACACATTCTGTATCTAATGTTAAAACAATTACTGATGTTGGCTTTGAGAAGAATTTTATTAACGCCATTCAATTCAGTTGCCCTATTTTTTACCAAGTGTTATTTTTAAATTTTTGCGAGGCTTTTTTTTTTTTAAATTATTACTGCTTTTGCTTGTTGTTTATTCTCCTTAATGAAGGGGTCGAATGGATGGGAAGTGAAAAGTTTGTTTTCTCGTCATCTTCCCTTCGTTATGCCCTTTCTCAGGGGTTTGATTAGTGGTCAGTGGTAGGGAATTCGGGCAGCCTAGTCCCCAGGGAGATGTGCTGGTACCACTGAGGGCTGAGCTTTCCGGGTGGATTGCATCCATCAGCCAACTCCTGGGGAGAAAAATGAGCAATCTCTTTTCACACAAGTTATAGCCCTGAATCCAGTGGGGGTCAGCTGTGAGTCGGTTCAGACCCAATGGCAGGAAGTATGAATGAGAGCAGCCAGTTCGGTGCCACGTGACATTGATAAGAGTTTTATTTTTAAATTTTCAAACCAACTGGTATAACCACAGTGTTAAAGGAATCTCTATTTTTTTCCTTCAATTTTACCCTGTCTTTTAATTTTAATTTTAAATTTGAACTTTAAAATACTCAACGCATCAAGCTTTTCAGGCTTCTCCTGTCCCCTTCTAAGTTGAAATAACAGTATGTTGGCCAGTAGAATCCTGCCTAGACTAGACAGTCAAATGTGTTTACATGCCATGGAGAAAGAAGACACTTAAAATGTTTAAAAGAATGATAAATTTCTAAATCTATGCATTGCATAATTAGAAAAGACTTAAATGACTCTTAAGTTGTAAGAAAAACAGCATTTGAGGGCAAGAAGAGTGTCATGTTTTAACATCCTCATTATTTGCCCATAACAAATACTTAAAGTTGTTTATGTCCGAGATTGGCTTTGGTTGTTTTTTGTTTTTGTTTGGTTTTTTTTTTTTAATGAATCAGGCCCAGAAATACAGCAGGTCATTTGAGGGACCAAGGGTGGGATAAAAGAATTCATTTTACTGAGTGAAGCAGGCACGAACTTTAGAATGTATCCATTTTTATATACCCCTTACCTTTTTTAAAAATTAGGACTTTTTAGATTCATTATGTAGCAAAATGGATATATAATTTTTGTCTTTATGATTAGATACAGACAGACTGTTTTCCCTAAAAGAAAAATTGAACTTTACATAATGGTCTGCAATTAGAAAGTTAACCATAATCTGTCACTTAGAAAACGACCTGAAATGAACGTTTCATCTGGTTTCCTTTGGGCCGTAGTAGGCTTTAGTTTTGCAGTATATCGGTTAACTTTTTGTAATGTGAATGAGGGCAGTTTGTCTGTGGTGACCTTTGGAACACTCCGTTCCTTGTGGAAACTTTAAAGCAGCATCACAGAGCAGAGAGTCAATCCTTCCCTTCCCTCCCTTGTCTCCTTAAAATATGCTAAGATGCTCCTGGTATGTATATGCTACGTGAACATTGAAGATCTTTTTCTAGGTCCTCCACAGCCCGTGAGCCCCCCTAGACCTTTCAAGCATGGTGAACGGAGGAGAAGATCACAGCGTTTAGCCACTGTGCCCGTGTGTGATGTCTCTGTAGAAAAGGTCTCTCCCTGTCCAGCTACTGATGGGAAAGCATTCTCCATCAGTTCGCAAAATCCGCACGAGTCTTCAGACCCAGAGGGTAATGTATTTGCTGATTTACTATAGACCCCGAGCATAAAAGGAAATAAAAAAAGTCGTGATAATGATTTGTGGAGTATTAAGAAGCCGCTTTTCCCTCTTTACGTCTATGTGGACATAGAAGCACTTGGTTGAAACTGTCCGTGCTTGTCCAGTGCCGCCTCTGTGTGCGGCACTCTTGAATAGCTGTGCCCCTTGACTCCAAGTGGCTAGTCGCTGAGCCAGTGCGTCTGTGTTAACATGGTACCACATTCTTTATTTTGTATAGTGCCCGATGTTGCACATTTGTCACTCGAGAAGCTGGGACCTTGCCTCCCTCTTGACTTAAGTCGTGGCTCCGAAGGTGCGGCTTCAGCGCCCTCAGATCTCTCTTCCCGTAGTGAATGCCCCAGGGCCGAAAAGGAAGTGGCCCAGGTGCCTCCATGCCCCTCCTCCAGAGCAGCCCTTGACGGCCGAGGAGCTCCAGCCACAGGTAAACAGTGTTCTTTCGTAAGTAGCTCCTTTGCAGTGGCAAGGAGTGAATATTTCGATGTATGGTTAGCTTGTTTCAGTTCCTGTGAAAGGAGCCCTGGTGGCGCAGTGGCTAAGCTCGTGGCCTGGAGAGGTTTGCAGGGCCCAAAAGCTCTGCGCTCCACTGCTAGTAAGGGGCAGTTCTTCTCTGGCTTCATAGGGTCACTGTGGTGGAACTGACTCAGTGATGGTGGGATCATTGTTGTGTAATTCCCCTTTATAAATACCTTTATATGATGTTTATGAGTGAGAAGATTTCTCTTGCAAGGTCTTCTGTGCAACCATTTGACTGTCATGTTTCCCAAGACATTCTTATGTGTCACTTTTCTGTAAAGGCAGATCCAGGTCAGAAAAATGAGACTTGACTCCCTCTGGGCTTTTAACGTTACCTACTTACCTACGTTTACCCTCGCTGACAGGACTGAACCAGCTCCTGCTGGCCGCCAGCAAGTTCTTGATCACAGTCATCTGGACTTTCTACCCATGCAGCTTCTAAGTAATTGCAAAGGTTTCCAGTCTTTTTTTTTTTTTTTTGTCCGGAAGTAATACTGCATAGAGCCATACGCTCCTAACCACATACACTCATAAACTCCAGTTATCTACAGACTCTTATTAAAGGTGCCTGCAAATACCTTGTCTTAAGAAATTAATGCCCTGATGTGAAGATTTGTAAGTTTTGAAATATTTCTTAGAGTTTCCTAAATCTGAATCCTTGTCTTTTGACTCTTTTTCTGTGTTCCTTCTTCATAATTAATTTTCCTGTTCCACCAGATTATTTTGTTTCCCTTAACTCTTTGAGATATGTGTAATATGGATATTAATTTTTCTTTTGTGAGTGGTTTCATGCCCACCTTTCTCCTGAGAAATGGCTGGTGGATTCGAACCACTGGAGAGGTGGTTAGCCTTGTTGTTCCAAAGCTGGCACTGCAGAGGTCAGGCATTAAGTCCCCAGAGAATTGTGCCCCCAGACCTCCCAGGAGCCTTACTAGCTCTCTGGATTTGATGTGAGTGCTGATTTAGGTAACTAACGCTGCTGTAACAAAGCTAAGAGTGGCTTTACCAAACAGAAATTGATTTGATTATAGCTTATGAGGCTCACTCAAAACTGATTGCTGTCCATTTATAACCGACGTCGAGCTGACCCTTCAGCACGTTTTGAAGACGGTAAATCACAGAGGAGATGGCTTGACTTTCTCCATGGAGTCCCTTTGGGTCAGAACCACCAAAGAGGCACTCCCTTTAAGTTGGTGGTTACCTCCCTGCCTGCAAGGCCACGCGGCTGAATCCAGGGTGTTGGCTCTAGGGGAAGTCCTCAGGCTGTGTGTTCTGCTGGGATTCCTTGTTTCCTGGGCCATCTGTAGGCCTCACTCTGTGCCTTGCCTTCTGCAGTGTCAGTTTCCTAGGCAGGCACCTGAGCCCAGAAGGATATGCTCTGTTCCTAGTGATTATTTCTTTGTTGTGCTAAGGCCTCATTCTCTGCTCTTCTCTGTTACCTCATGTGAGAAAGAAGGTGCTACACCCAGGGCACATCCGCTTACATGGGCTCAGGCACTGGGATGGGATTAAGGAACCCTGCATTCCACCCTTAGTCCTTTCACAGGTGTTTGGTTTAGCGGAACCTGGGGATCATTACGTAGTTTCCACATTATATCATGTCCATGCATTTTTTGAGAAACATAGACTGTCACTATAAGTGATATTACAGTTTTGTTATACTGAATTTAAATGATTAAGTAGTTGAAGTAATTTGAATAAAATGCTCCTTTCCCTAAAGTTATCTTGTCTAATGCTTTTGAAACAAGTGGATGCCTTTAACAAATAGATGGATTTCCTTAGAGTTGAGGAGTCGGGACACCTGCAGGCAGGGCCCAGGCCCTGAGGAAAACGTCCCTTCTCTGCTAGTTCTGAGGGACGTTACTTGTTTCTCTTTAAGCTTTTATACTACTGGGTGATTTTTGTGTGACTTAGCATCTCTCTTCCTCCTTCCTCCTTTTATTTAATCTTTTTCTCATCAACATAACAAAGACAACTCATTTTCAAATGAATTTATAACCATAGATACTTGTTAGATGTCATCAAGTCCAGTATGACTCATAGTGACCCTTAACGCAGCAGCTCTGCACCCTGCCCTGTCCTGCCGTCCTCATCGTCTCTGACACACTTGAACCCGTTGCTGCACTCACTGTCTTAGTCCATCTCTTTGAGGTTCTCCTCTTTTTTGCTGACCCTTCACCTTTCCGAGCATGATGTCCCTTTCCAAGAAATAACCCCTTAAATGTGCACTGAAAATACAACTTCAGTTTACTTAACATCATCATTTACTGACTGTTACTGTGGAGGACAGAACTGTATCCTTCAAAAATATCTATCATTAAAAAAAAATCTATCATAAATCCTAGTCTCTATGTCTTTTTAATTACTTGCTATGGATCTGAGAACTCAAATGCATTGATTCTTCTTCTGTTACCCTTGTTCATTGTCCTGCTCTCAGATCCCTTTAACCTATAATTTAATAAACTAAAGTTATAATTTAAGTGCACATTTAACATTCTTATATCAAGCTACACACATGATATTAGCATTAGGAATGGCTTGCTGGGAGCTAAGAGATTTCATTTGTTGTGCCCCTTTTTAGTAGCCTCCATAGTTTTTGAGATGAAATACTGGTTTGAAATTGTCTTTTTAATACCTGTTAGTAACTAAAAATAGATGATAATAATTGTCATTGAGATCACATCAGTGATTATTATCTGTGACTAGATAGAACTTTGAATTCTACATTTTTTAATAAATAAAGACAAAAAGATGTGCAGAAAAGTTTCCTTGTGCCTGTTAGCCAGCAATTCATTCTGGATTCAGTTCAAAAGTACAAGAGATGATATAATAATTTTTTAGGCAAGAAAAATAGAAATACTAATTAAAAACCTTTGTGTGGGTTGTTGAAAAGCAGTCTGCCTTAGTCTGCTGGATTTGCCGCACATGACCTGTGCAGTCCCGTGAGCTTCAGCAGGTGATTACAGCAGAATACTCCCTTCCTGAGTCCCTGATAGATTTATTTTCACTTCTTAATCTAGCACTTCCAGGTGTATGATATTGCTAGAAATGATACAGTCTCAAAATACTACCCTGATGCAAACAGAAAACGAAAAATGTGTCTGCCATTTGCCAAACCTATGTAACTGCACACATTTATTCCTGTTTGGTAAATAGGAAGCACAGAGAGATGAAATTACTTAATGAATATCAAACAGTTAGTAACATGGTAGAGTCAAAATTTGAATGTGGGTCATCTGAAACCATCCCTAGTATTTCAATTTTTTTAAAATAAATCCCACTTTCTTTAGGCAGTAAAATAATGTAGAAGTTTAAGGAAGAAGCATCTTGCATAGAATTTTATGAACAGTTACGATCCAAGACATTAACCCGATCTGACTAAATGTCCATATTTTTTTCCCTACAGCCACAGGAATGTTGAAAACAGAGAAAAAAGTGAAATTGGAAGAAAAAAGCTCAACAATATTTGGTATGAACAGAAAGTAATCTTTACGTGAAAGACTGTAAAGTTTGATGGACAGGGAGGGTATAGTGCATTCCTTATTCTTTGTTAAGACTCAGGAGTGAGTGAGCATCTCCTTCAGTGTTTGTTAGTGCTATGAAACTCCAGATTCATGATTTCTTAAATACGTCTTTTATATTTTTGAATATGTTTTTGTTAAGGAGAGCTAGGACTTTACTTGATGGCTTATGTTTTGAACATTTATAATCAAAAGTATGGCTGTATAAAAATATGCCTCCATTAATATTCTCAAGACTTGAGAATAATGGCAAATGAAAATAGTCATTTTTAAAAGAGACTCTTTTCTCAACATACTTGGTAAAATTGACACAGTTGTATGTTGTCTTTACTATCTGTGCTGTGATTTTAAGTCAGGGAGTGATCGATGATCATCGTGTATGTACCGGTTAACTAACTGGATCTTAGAAAACTAAAAATTGTAATGGGTAGATTGTAGGCTAACCCGTCTTGAGTTGGAACAATAGTAACTTGAATATGTATGGCAAATTTGTTTCGAATAAAATGTTCTAAGATAGTACTCTAACATCCTGTTTCTTTTCTTTAGAATACATTAAAAGGGAGTAAAAGCTACAAATTTTGGGAAAAATAATTTTAATAAAATATTTTCTTTCCTTATATTCTTAGGTTTCATTTTTGTGTATTTTGAGAAAGTGTTTAAAGCCTATGAATTGACTTGATTTTTTTAATTTCTTCCAAGAAAAGTGTTAAAGTTGAAAAAAAATTATAGTTTATCATTCAATTCTATATGGTAATGCTGAGTCTCCTCAATTGAGTCTTTTTTAAATTATGAAGTTTTATTTCTTGCCAGATCAGGAAATTGAGTATATTACTCATTTAAAGATTTTAACTGCTGTCTGTGTTAACTTTAAGGTGTCAGGAGTTGGGATTTCTCAACACTGCTAATGAAGACCCCCTCTTATAGTCCAATAAGCTAATCAAGAGTTGGAGACTCATGACATGAACAGTTTAATTGAATCCATCCACTCTGGGCAGGTGACTGGAATAGCTGATTAAAACATAAAAAAAAATGCTACTTTTAGGTTAACCATGAAAGGAGCAGTGTTGGGCCAGCCATGATTATTAAAGTACTCACTTTGATCATTTAGGTAAGAGGAAAGAAAAGGATAAGGAACGAAAAGAGAAGAGAGACAAAGACCACTACAAGCCAAAACAGAAGAAGAAAAAGAAGAAGAAAAAGAAATCTAAGCAGTATGGTGAGTGTGCTGAGGGACCATGGTCCGCTTGTGAAAATGGGAAGGGTTTCCCTTCTCTCTCTCAGAGGCAGGTGTGGCACGAGCCTACGATCGTGGTTGGGAACTGAGACATTGATGTAGCTGTCCAGTGCCGCTGCAGCAGACACGTTACAACTGTACACTTACAAGTGTAAGCTGTCACACCGATACTTATTCTCTCCTGGATTGTTGTTGTTAGGTGTGTTGAGCGTGACTCAGAGCCCATGAGCGGCAGCTCTGAATCCTGCCCTGTCCTGTGCCATCCTCACCAGCTCTGACACACTTGGTTGAGCCCATTGCTGCAGTCACCGTGTCCATTTAGGAGGCTCAAAAGTAAAGCATCTCACACTCTGCCATCTGCTCACAGCTGACCCTCTGTTGGGTGTTCAAGGCTGTAAATCAGAGAGGAGATTGCCCATTTCCATCTTCCTCCTGTGGAGCCACTGGTGGGTTCAGAGTGTCCGAGAGCCTCGGGGTCAGCAGCACACCGCCACGAGGACTCCAAGAGCCTGTTCCTCGAGAGCCGAGGTGTGGAGGCAGGCGGCTCAACCTCTAGCCTTCCTGTGCCTTTCTTATTTAAAACATAACCAGCTCTGCATCCCTACTGTACTTAGTGTCTTGGAATGTGAAGGGACTCCTAGTTGCCTCTCCAGCAGGTTTTCAGAGGCAGAAAATCCATGAGAAGAGATGGCAAGTGGGGTAGAACCACTCACCTTTAGGCTGGCAGTGCAGCTCCCCACTGAGCAGGCCACCCGAGCACCTGTGCTTGTTGCAGGTCCTTCCGCTGGTTGTTGCCATGATTGGAGGCTTTCATCCCTAGCAGTGGGATGGGCTGGTTACACTGAGCAACACCTTGCATCACATCACACGGGGGGAGTTACTCTGAGTCTGGCGTGATACACTCTCTGAAATTAAAGTTCATGAATGAAGGTGAAATAAAGACATTTTTAAGTAATCTTTCAAATGAGGAACAAGTCTAGTTCATCTCTGAAAGAAATTCTAAAAGATGCACTTGAAGGCAGAGGAGAATGTGCCATAGTCAAGACTTGAGATAGCAGACGAAATGATGAGGGAGTGTAAGCTGCATGTTCATCTGGGGGTGAAACCCACAAATCAGATAATTTGGTCTGTGGAGCCAAAACAAAATGATATAAAACAAAAATATCTAATAGCAGTAACTGCTTATAAATTGAGGGGCTCACTTCGCTAAAAGTATTTTTCAGCTTGGAGGAGTGGAAGAATTTTCATTTTGTTGTTATGTGCCATCAAGTACAACAGCTCTGAACCTGGCTCTGTGATGAGCCAACTTTATTGTCTCTGACATACCCACCCCCATTAGCCTGTCACTGGATCGGTCCATCTCACTGAGGGTCTTCCTCTCATGCACTGTCCCTCAGATTTGATTAATTAAATCTGCATGTTAATATTTCTTACATGAAGACTTAAATGAATAGAAGCATAAGATGTAGTTTCCAAACCAGAGGGGAAAAATACAATGAAAAAACTCATTCAGGAGAAGATAATACAAAAGGGAAAAATGTAGGAAAAGGAGAAACATACTAATTAGAAAATGAGATGTTAGAAATAAATCTACATGTATTGTCATCTGTATAAGACAGATTTATTGTGATAGATAAAATCCACCTCTATATTCTGTACAAGAGACTTCTTTACATGAGACTTCTCTATGGTATAAGGGTAGGGGAGTCAGAAATGTTGGAAATAAAATATTGGGAAAGAGAGAATATTCAAAGGTTCCAATAATTTTATGTCTTCTGAGATAATAAAATTCTAAATTCCAAATTCATTGGCATCTCTTTCTTAGTAATTAATAGATTATCAAAGCTAAGGAAGACAGAATAAACTCTCAGTAGCTCAGTTGACATAAAAGATGTTCCAGAACTGAACCCTCCACTCAGCAATTGTGGTTGTTATTGTTGATTGTCGTCAAGTTGAGCACGACTAACAAAAAGACCTAATGCCATTCCTGGAGAGGGTTAAACCGGGCTGCTCCTTGGAGGCAAGGATTCTGAGACTTCGTCTGACATACTTTGGTCATATTGTCAGGAGAGACCAGTCCTTGGAGAGGGACATCATGCTTGGGAGGGTGGAGGACAGGCACGGGAGGGGAAGGCCCTCTGGGATTCGGTAACTGGGGCAATCGGGATGAGTGTGTCGGAGACAGTGAGATTGACACAGGACAGAGCAGAGTTTAGAGCTCTTGTACATAGGGTTGCTATGAGTCACAAGCGACTCGACAGTACATAACAACAATGCCATTCTATAACTATCGTTGTTTCTCCGAGTTCATAGAGTTTCCATAGGCATGTGGTTTAGGAAGTGGATGCCACTCCTGCTGCCAAACCTGTTTTACAACTGGGAGCTCCACCAAACACTGCCCACTTTGGGGAAACCCTTATGGTATTTGGTATCCTAATAGCACAAGGTTCAGCATCACAGCAAACGTAGATTACCTCAGAACAGCCAATTGACAAAAAGAAATATACAAAGTAGAAGAATGTCCCTCTAAATATAACAACACTAGTCTCATTTAGCAGTGGTTAAGTGTCATCAAATTGAATATGACTCATGACCCTATGAACAAAAGACCTGAACTCTGTTCTATCATTATCATCTTTTTTGTGCATTTATAGAGTTTCCAGAGGCAACTGCTTTAGGAAGTAGATGTCACTCCTGCTTGCTTTAGGAAGTAGATGTCACTCCTGCTTCCAAATCTGAATAAATCTGGAAGCTCCCCCAGAAATGTCCATGGTGGATAACAGTTATGATATTTGACATGACTATGACACAGTGTTCAGCATCCCAGCAATTCTAAGTTACTTCAGTACAGCAAATATACAGCTGCTGTACCACTTAATGTGAAATTGATCATTTTCTCAGACAGATACAGTACATTATTAAGGCTAAGTCTGTATTTTTTATTAATTTTAGTGAACGTTTATAGAGACTTAGGATTTCCATTCATTCATTATTGAACTTTTCTCCCTTCCCCCTACCCAGGTTACGCTTCTCTTTGAAAAGCAAAAGCAAAATTTTTTCATTGTTATACTATCCCTCCCCCCGAAGTTCATTCCACTATGCAGCCTTTGTTCTAGACTCCTATCATGACAATAATACCTAATCATATATCACTTTTAAACAGTTCTCTCCCTTATCTGTTTCAATGCAGTATACATAATTTATCCCATCTTTCTCAGTCTTTCCTCAACCCTGATGTCAGTCGCATTTTACAACAGTGGCACCCTGCAGTATTTGTCCTTTTGTGACTCAGATATTTCACTCAGCATAATGTCCTCCGTGGTCACCCATTTTGTATAATATTTCATGAGTTCCTTGTTTTTCAATGCAGTGTAGTAAGTATTACACTGTGTGAATGAATATACCAGAGCTTCTCTATCCTTTTTTTGTTGATGGGCACTTAGGTTGTTTCCAGCTCTTTGCTATTGTGAACAAAGCCACAATAAACATGGGTGTGCGTATATTTGCCTGGGTGGCAGTTCTGGTGTCTTTAGGGCATATTCCCAGTAGTGGAATTGCTGGGTCAGATGGCATCTCTATTTGCAATTTTTTGAGAAAGCGCCATATTGCCTTCCACAGTGGTTGCACCATTTTATTCTCCAACCAGCAGTGATTAACAGTTCAGTTTCTCCACAACCTCACCAGCATTTGTTCTTTGCTGTTCTGTTAAGTTTTGCTATTCTTATGTAGTCTGTATTTTGAAGATTTAAACAAATCTCATCAAATACTGAAGAGCAACATAATGAAGACTAGGCTTAACAACAGGGGAGATAGTAAGGGTGGGGCAGGAGTTTTGATCTTTGGCACATGGGAGTATTTTTATTACTGAGAGTCAAGTCAGCAGCATTTAACAACAACCACTACATAATGCCAGTGTTTCTAACCACAGAATAGTTAACTACACATGACTATCAAAGATAAAAAGATAGGTCCCACATATGTAGAAATTAAGCATTCCCTTCTAAAAAAACTCCTATTTTAAAAAAAAAGTCCAAGGAAGAAAGTACTAATTTTTATGGACCTGAAAGATGCTGAAAATAATATCAAAGCTCATGGGATGCAGTTAAAGTGTAACTTAGAAAACATTTTGTCATGTGTGCTTATAGAACAGGGATGAAAACCAGCTACACTTCCAGCTTGAGTTGGAAAAATAACAAGAATAAATCAAAAGAAAGCAGAGTAAATATTAAAAGGGATGAGCAAAAATCAACCTTAAAAGAAATGTGATGAAGAATTCAAAGATGCGAAAGTTGGTTCTTTGAGAGCTCTAACGAAGTCAGCACACACCTGGAAAGGCTGATTGAGGAAACATAGACACCTTCCTGCTTGTCCTGGACAAGTTCTCTTAGTCCGGTTCAGGCTGAAGTAGTGGAAAAGGCGCTTTCAGAGATGGTGTTAATCTGTTACATTGGACCATCGATACCTGAGTGTCTGGGGGCAATATTGTCTTATATATAATGCTTTTGCATTTGTTAAACACTTAATAAAAACAGCTTTAAAACAAAAAAGCCCACTGGGATGTGAAGTATTAGTAAACTCTTAAGATTTTAATTGACTACATCATCCAGAAAGAACTGATTTTTCCCCAGGTGTTAAGTTTATGCATTCTTTAAAATAAACTACCAGAGTAATTTTGAAGATGCACAATCAAAATGATTTTGAAAAGCTTGAGTCTGCTTTGCGGAGAGTCTTTGGAACACTCCCTGGCACTCTGGCGTTTCTTCTCTTGACTTCCCATTATCCACCCAAACCCATTCCCTTGTCCATTAGAAACATGGAACTACAGAAGCAAATACCACTAATGTTCAGTCCTTGAGTCTAGCAAATGCAGAAATGAGAAAGTTCAGACTGCAGATGAAACTGCCAGATTCACTCCCAGCTGGCCTGAGGGGATGAGGAGTGTGAGTAGAGACATGAGTTGTCCAAGCTGCTGATTACGTCCT